CTTTCATTATTTATATGGTGGATCAGAGTGAAGGGAGAAAAGAGAAGGGAATTGAATTGAGAGAGAAAAAAGATAGAAGTTTAAGCTTTGAGCCAAAGCACTTCGATACACTAATATATCATCTTCCATATATCAAACCAAGCCCATAAATTCTATTATAGCCATATTCGTGAGCTTTGATCAAAAGGAAGTGAGTATTGTTGAAATTGAGAGAAAAACAGAGTGTTGGAACAACTTCCCCCACATACACTGTTAAAACACCCCAAAACACCATTCCAATAAGAATTTCAAATTTTCAATGTGAGAATTGAGAACACACTTCCTAAGCTTGAGGGTGATCAAAAGGAAGTTTAGAAATCAAGTCCTTCTTTCGAAGGTGAATTTTGTACACTTTTCATTTTCTAGTATTTCTTGCATTTTCTTTCTTCTATTGATTTTCTTGCTTCAATTTCATGCTATAAACCTGTTATAAGCTAACTGGAAATGGTTAGTTGAGCCACCTGCATATTTTCCGTTTGTTTTTCTGGTGTTTGAACAAAATAGAGTTTTTAGCTTGGCCTAATTGGCCAGCTGACTAACTTTTTGGCTAGCCATTGCATCTTTTGGTCGGCCAGCTAGTTTCTCCTAGATAGAACTCTAGCAGCCTCTCAGTGTCGAACAGAATGGTTTTCGTGGTCTCCTGAAGCAGTTGTTTTTATTACTTTTATTTTAGTTAGAGAGTGTTTGTGAGGATACATTTTTGTTGTAATATTTTTATTCCTTTTCTTCCTCATTCGGATTTGTAATATTCAAAATTGTAATAATTTCCCACCCTGTTTCTTTCTATCCCGTTCTTTATTTTGCTTTCCATATTATCTAAGTATGCATGTTATTTTACTTGTCATCATATCCATACTTTGCATCTATGTTTTATGCCTTAAGATTCGACTAAATTTGCATTTGTGAGTTTATTCGATTATTATGTAATTTGTGCGCTATCTTATGTCTTGAGATTATTCACATGTCATATGTTTTAGAAACCAGATTTTTAGTTGCATTTCATGAGTGAATTACATTAGGATCTTGTATATAGAATCATGCATGTTTTACTAACTTTGTTTTGTACCTATTTGGGGGACGTCAGTAAATATGTAAGTTTTTGTGCTTTAGCATCCCGCCTGTGTGTGATTTTCTTACTATGTTTAGCATCCTACCACGTGGCTATGTGCTTATTTGATATAACTTTATGTATGCTAGTGGGTGAAGGTTGTGTTATTTAATTTGGATAAAATTGATTTTCATGATTTCACTATTCAAAACATTTTCAAGATAATAAAATCAAGTTGTTCCAAAATGGATGACACAGTCTATAGTTGTTTGCTTCACGTAGTAAATTTTAGGATTTATTAAATAATCGAAATATGACATATAAAGTTAATAAAAATCATATTATGACTTAGTAGAGGCTGATCTTTTGATCAGGTGAGCTGGGGGTGCTCAATTAATGACCTTTGCCTCTCATACCTAAGGTTCCGAACCAAGCATCATTGGTTATGACGAACAATGGCTTTGGCGCGAGTCACGGGTTTCCTAATTTTTCCAAAACATTAGGTGGCGACTTTGAGATTTGATGATGTAGTCTATTTCTAGCAAATGTTTTTGCAACAAAAATGGATTTCTATAAAAGTTGCCAAATTTGGACTCTTATCTATATTTCACATTGCACCCGTGAGACTAGATCGAAGAAATAGAGGATTTGAACTGTTTAACGCGGGTGGGTACCCCTTGACGATATTTACAGTTTCTGGCGACTCCATTGGGGATATTAGGAAACCTTGACTCAGACTCCATGATATGACTTTTATTTTCAAATATATGTTCATTGAATTTCATGCATTGGTGTGCTTAAGTCCCGTGCTCCTCATCTGTTATCCTGGATGGCTATTTGGCTTAAATAGTCATGGGCTCTAATATGGTGGGAGCACAAGTCTTGGAATCGGGATCACCACGTGCCGCTTGATCTGCCAGATTAGGCAGGTATATCGGTGTCTCGCTGAGGTACCCTATTTGACTGAGACTGACCTAGTACATATAGTAAACTCTAGCAACTTCCACAATTAAGACAAGATGCTACCCCATGCTAGGATGAATGATGTCACTTGTTTGAATAGTAAAACCCTAGATCATGTCAAAGTTAGAACATAATAATCCTACCCTCTATAGGGGTGTTTGTTCTCTTTCGTGCTATGTGCAATGTATGGGATCTGGGGTTCTCAAATCTGATTAGTGGATTAGACATATCATTTTGAGGGGTTGATTTTAGTGTGCATAATGATCTGTTGAGCCAAAATGCTGTCGAAATTCTGATTAAGAGTATCATTTTTATTTTTCAAGGTAGTCCTAGCACTATAGCTTCAGAATTGTCTAATATCCCCTAAGTTTTGTTGACTCACGCTGGTAGAGTTAGTAGAACCGCATATTTTGGTTCAAGGACATCTAGTGTTAGTTTCTCTGTCGCCAATCATAAGGAAGAAGGTTAAAACCTCATTGTCAAAACCTCGCCAGCTAGAATTTCCAAGATCCGTGATGGATCCACCTTCAGTGGTGATGGACCAGCCTTCAGTGGTAACGGACCGACTTCCAGTAGTAACAGATCCACCTCCAGTAGTGACAAACCCACTTCCAGTAGTGAGAGATCCACCTCTAGTAGTGATGAACCCAAATCCAGTAGTGACGGATCTACCTCCAAAAATGATAGATCAACCTTTAACAATAACGAACCAACCTCTGGTAGATATAGGAAACATGTTTTTGGCCCTTCAACAAAGCATGGATACTATTACCAACAAGGTTGTCACCAACAAGGAGGCTTTTGTCGAATTGCAATGCCTATCTAGGGCGTCTACATCTTATCCACCTTCAATGGTTCATCCAGTTTTGGAACCACCTCTGCTAGTTGAGGAACTTATTGAGCCCAATTTACAAGAAGGCATGAGGGTTCTCACACAACCAATGGGAGGACTGTTCCCCATGGATATCGATGGAGTTGACTCGACTATGCCAAAATTAGCCAAGTTGAAGAAAATGTTCAAAAATTCACAAAGGATCAAGTCCATTCCAGACATCGATGATGGGTTTACAGAAACAATTCTGAGGCTATTTGAGCAGTTCAAAAGCCACACATGGATAGATTTGATGGGACTGGTGACCTTATGGTTCACATCCGCCTCTTCTCAGACATCCTAAAGCCAATAGGCCTATCTCAAGCTCAAAAGCTTTCTTTGTTTGGGAGAACTTTATCTGGTGTAGCCGTAATCTGGTATGCCAAGCTAGAGGACTCAATAAAACAGACTTGGAAGAAGTTAGTCGAGGGTTTCGTCACCCAATATTCTTACAACACCCAGATTGAGGTAACCATCCAAGAATTGGAGGCAACTTGACAAGAGACCAACGAGAGCTTTATGGCATTTCTCACTAGGTGGAGGGCAAAGACAGCCATGATGACAAGTCGATCCTTGGGAAAAGATCAAGTCCGCATGGTTGTCAAAAATCTGTATGGAGGATTATTGCAGAAAATGATAGTTCTCACACTCTTGAACTTTAGGAACCTCCATGAAATTGGGGTTCAAATTGAGGATGCTATCAAACAAAGGGTCATTACAAAAGGAAATGTGCCCGTGAGAAAAATGTTCAATCACAGTTCTAATCACTACAAGAAATTGCACTTTTGGCAACTACTTTTGGCGACGACGTCAATTTTTCATAGCCAAAAGTATATTTTTGGTGACACAATAATGAATTTCGTTGGTAAAAGTAGACCTTTGCCGACGCAATTTACTATCGTCGCTAAAAAAGCATAACATTCTTTAAGCGCCAAAATTATTTGTTGGCGCCAAAATTTCAAAAGTTTTAGCTACGACGCTTATTTTTTAGCAACACAATGAGCGTTGCTATTAGTGTGCTTACTTTTGGCGACGACAAGTTGGCATGGGCAAAGAGTTAAACATTTAGTGACGACAACAGTATTCGTCGGTAAAAGTTTTGCTAGTGAAACGAGGTGATTTAGTAATTTGTGTTTTTTTTATAACTTTTGAAAGAGTTTTAAATATCCTAATTATTGAATTGTAAAATTAAAGTGATCATTGAATTAGATCACAAAATGAACCCATCAAGCCTAAACATACTCTTAAGTTGAGATGGCTAATTTGAGATAATTAAAACTTTTCCAAAGAATGTGGTTAGATTATCATTTTGTAGAGGGCATTTTACGTATAATCATATTAAATTTCATAGTAAATTTCTTTTTGTAATGTTTATCTTTAAAAAATTAATGGTCTATCTTAAATAAGTTATTCATCGTTCATTTTTTTTCAAAGATAAGTATGACAAAAAAACATGTTACAATTATCAAATTATTTTTTTTTCCTATAAATGATATACATAGAGAGATTTACAAAATAAAAATTTAAATTATCAAAACGAGACTAATAATGACATCTTTAAATGAGAAGTTATTAGTTAGTTTAGTGGCAGCGCTACAAGGAGGTCTACATATATTGTAATTGGTAAAAGGGATGAAGTCTATCATTTTATATTGAGTGATTGAAAAATATAAAGAGATGTAGAAATTTATGATTAGCCTAGGACATAATCACGTCATGCCCTAGAATCAACAAATAATTTTTCCCTTTAAATAAATTATCTCAAGTTTAAGTTTGAAATTAAAAGAAACCTAACCAATTGCTACTAGAGATGGCAGTGGGGATCCTACCCTATGGATATCTATAGAGATCCTATCCACATATATGGATTTTTTTCATTTTTTTTACCCATCGAATTAATTAAGTGGGGATTTTTAAATACCCATAGGATATGGGTTGGGAATGGGTAATGGGTACCCGCCCATTTCCCATTTCCCCACCCATATGTTGTGTTTAGGGTTCTCAATCTCACGATCTTCTCAATCTCATTCTCACTCACATAGCAGCGAAGGCAACGATCTGCGTCGGATTTGCAAAGGCAAAGATCTCCATTGGATTTGCGAAGGCAACGATCTAGTGGCGGCGATCTCCGTCGGCGTTACCACGGTGGTTCTCCGGCGTGGTGAGTTTCTCTATCTCGTTCTCTTGTTCTATTTGTGTTGGAAAATTCATCTATTCGATCCTCTTCCTTCTCTTCCACCCTTGTTCTGTGTATTTTCCCGTCGTAATTTGCATTATTTTTTTTTTCTTTTCCTTTTCCTTTTCCTTTTCCTTTTCTATCACTTTCTCAACTTCCAAACAGCCCTGTTTAGGTTTCCCTCCTTTCTCAGGGAGGTTGGTTAAGAGAGCATATGATGCATTGTTGTTGGACGCTGGTGGCACTCTTTTGCAATTGGTGAAACCTGTCGAAGAGACTTACGCATCAATCGGCAGAAAATACGGTTAGCTTCACAGAGTTGTTGCTTTGATTCATGGAAATTTTAACTCAATGTTGTTTAAAGCTATGGATTTAAATCAGTTGTGAATTATGATGCATTTGGAAATTATTAGCTTTGATTTCTCATGTGGAAGATGAAATTTATTTACTATCTATCTATTTTCTTATATTTTTCATTTTTTAATCTAAGCTGTCTAGATATATATTCTCTTCATTTCTCTATTTTTCAGCAAGAATGGGTATTTTTTTTGGATCTGTTCATCGAGTCCTGTTCAGAGCAATTTTCTGGGTTTTCTACTACTAGGAATGCTGACTAGGATCATGGATGTATTACCCTAGATCCCTGAGTCCTAGTTTATGGTTTTGATGCTCTAGGTGTTTTGGTTGATAGAGAACAGTATTTGAGCAGCCTACTTTTCTTCCTTGTATGCCTTGCTAAGGATTGGGTGGGGTCTGGCAGATATTTTTTTTGAGGGCAGTAGTGCTTCTGATAAGGAAAATGCAAAAATTAGAATGCATAGTAGGTTCTAACGAAAAAATTGCCAAAAACTCAAATTTCATGATTTTAAAATTCATTCGTTCCACACTAGTGAATTGTAATTTTATAAGTTTAGTACTACTCTTTTCAACTACTTCCCACATGACTTTTAATCCACCGTCTGCTTCAATCTGAAGAAACTGATGAAGAAAGAGTTAGAACAATATGTATTGGGCATATTGGTGCAATTTCAATCTAATTAGTCATTGATCAACCAAACAGAGTAATTGGTTTTCAAGTCATCCCCCAATTTACTATACGTTTCCAAAATAATATTTAAAGAACACACCTTAAAACACTAGATCAATTTATATACATACAAAAACATGAATCAAGTGCTAGACCCAAACCATAAAATAAAGTAATCGAATTGACACAAAAAGTTAGCACTAAGATAACTTCTATAGACTTATGGACACTTGCAAATTTGTTTATACTTTCTTAATTAATCACTACATCATCATAGAATCAATGCACCAAATGATTAACAAATATCACATGTGAAAATTAACTCATTTCACATAAAAATAAATCATGGTTATATTTTCCGTCACATCAATATATAGAAAATACAAATGACTATGAAAACCACAAGTTAAAAAAGCCTTACACTTCACAAATAGTTCCATGAAACAAATTCAACCTATATGCCAGAACAAAAATCCTGGCTAACAGTTGGAAACAAGAAAAACAAAAACAAAGTTTAAAAACTCCTTCAAACAAAAGGAGGCCTACAAAACCCGTAGAACCAAGAAATCAGACACAAAAAAATACCCAGAAAAACAGTGTGGTCCAGATTCATTCTAAATATTGAATCCAACCATTTACTCCTTTTGGCAACTTTGTAACAGATTGCTTCCACCATTATAGAAAAAGATAGCACAAACATTGCTACAGCTGTTGGCTTTTGTATCCGATTCACCTCATGACGTTTTATAAGGGAACTATGTAATTACTTGGTAGCAACAAATATAACATATTAAAATCTTTTCAAGCAAAACAGAACAAGAGTGGTTTCATACAGAAACGGCTATGATGAGTGTGTGTTCCTCTCCTTACCCAAATTTCTATCTCAAAATCTCCAAAGGCAAATCATGATATAACTAGGAAAAGATTAACAATAAAAACAAGTTTAACCAACTGACCCAAATGGACTAGAAAACCAGACACTTTCTTACAGAACCATTAGTATAGAAATCATTTCAGATTAAGCAAGAGCTATATTGAAAGGATTAAAAAATGCACCATTGCTCACCAATAAATTGAGGGTGTTGATACAACACAAAAGAATCATTGTTAACCAACATAACACAGGCAAGGAAAGAGAGAGAGAGATTGATACAAAACTGGTAATATATTCATAGTGGATGGATATGCAAGGGAATCTATATACCTGAATTTGACTTCTATTCCCAGCAGTGATATTTGAAATTGTCCAGCAAGCTTCTTTCTTGATGCTTTTTTTGTGATATTGTGTGAGAAGTTGGTAGAGACAAGGGAGGACATGGTTCTCAATCACAAACTGAAACAAATAAAGCGAGTTATTTCTCACTGTGCGATGAAAAGTACATCAAGTTTGTTGATGTGTGTGTGTGTGTGTGTGAGAGAGAGAGAGAGAGAGAGAGAGAGAGAGAGAGAGAGTTTCAATTTCCTCAGCACTACCATTCCACTAAAATGCAGTTTTACTTGCTAAATACATACACAAATTTCATGACAGCATTCAGCATTTCAAAAATTCAGTTTCCTAATTAATTCTTGTTAGAATAGGTATTCCATAAAGCTTTGTGATGACATCTTTTCAGTTACATCTATATATGTATATAAACACATAGCTAATGTACCTTATCATTCAAGAGTAAAGAGTCAGAGACTTATAGGATACTCTTAAAAGAATAATTAAACATAACTTCTTCCCACGTACAGTACAATGTATGCAAGGGCTACTGCCCCACAAGAATTAAAAACTTGTCCATCATCCTCTACATTCATCATCATTTTTGAAAGACTGTATAACTGCACCATACGAAATTCCTATTTGACCAGTGCCTAACCTCCATGAGTATAGACTCAAGGCAGTAATTAACGCCTTAGCACTCACCGTGTGCGGAATGTGCAGAAAGAATTGAGCTTGTGACCTTAGCAGAAGAAAAAATAATCTCATCATTTAGTTGCCGCTTACACCTTAACATATATAGTACTTTTTTATTTACTCTTAACAATCTCTTATACAGATTGTATTTCAATATTGATTATTAGTTAATTTCACAATTACAATGGATACTGTCGATGATGCCAACCGTTGCATCAAACATCTGATGCTACTGGTGGCTGATGGTTGTTGTTTGCTGGTCTGCTGCAGCTGCTGGTTTGCTGCTGGCCTGGTGGCTGCTACTGCTGCTGCTGCATGTTGCTGTGAGGCAGCTGCTACTAGATGCTGGTCTGCTGCAAATTTGTAATAGTGGTCTTTATTTAGAGTCTTGTAAATGGTTATTGCTTCTCCAGATGCGTGCCTCATGGGAGAGGGATTCTTGTTTTCCTAGATGGCCCACCATAAGGTATGATTTATTGTTTATTTTTTAGTTCCCACCGTAAATAATTTTCAAATATATATATTGTTAGCACATAAACATATAATGTTATTTTTTTTAGGAATCAAACATTTTTTTTTGGTAATTGATTTATTTGGTAACAGCACTACTAGTGATGTTGACACTAGAGACTTGGATGGTGTTTGAGATTGATTTTTTAAGTAATTTTTTGATTTGGTGTGCCTTGCATATTTCCACAATATAAATTTACATTGTATTCGTTTTATTATTGGATTCCAAGTTGTTTTAACTTTTTTAAAGTGTCCATGCTTCTTAGCTGGTTCTTTCTTTGGCCTATTTGCCAAATGAATTTGATTCCTAGTGCCTGTTGATGTTGGAATTCATTAGTTGGTCTAAACCAATTTTTGAATTTTGTATGCCAAGGGTGATGCTCAATCCTTGCATGTGTGTGTTTAATTATTATCTTCTAAGAGACTAAGACCAAATCCTGAATCCATGTTTCGTGTACTATTTGGAATGTATTTTCCAAGCAAACAGGATAGGATTTCAGGATCTGCAAGGGTAAGTCACTCGGTAATTATGTGGGACACTCTTAAGTACTCTCTTATTTCAGGATTTGCTGATGGTCTGCTGGTCTGCTGCTGCTGCTGCCGGTGTGCTGCTGCAGAATTTTGCTAGGCTGTTACTGCTGCAATGTTGCTGTGAAGCGGGCTGCTACTAGATGTTGGTCTGCTGCAAATTTGGGTTGTTGTTAGTTTCATGTTTTCATTTTGTTAGCTACTGTTTTTACTATGGGTTCACAAGTTGGATGTATTTGAGTATTTTAGTGAGTTTACCCTTTCAGGTTTTATACATCGCTCCCAAAAGCATATTTTTCAGCAGTGTTTTTTTGTCTACACATCAACTTTAGGTGATTTCATATCAATGTTATTAGTTTGTAATAGTGGTGCCTGAGGAATGCCTCTTGTAAATTTGTAAATCTTATAAAAAAAAATATAAATAATTTTTAATTATTTTTGCCGCTGCAAATTTGTCGTTGCCAAAGAGTAAAGTTTTCTCGACAAACAACTTGTTCGTAAATGTGTTGCTCAAAGTGTATTTTTTGCCAATGTCAATTTGTCGTTGCCAAAAGTAAAACTTTATCGACAAACAAATCGTCGGCAAAATGTGTCACGAAAAGTTTACTTTTGCCGACGCATATTTTGTTGTTAAAAGTATATTTTTTGCCCACACAAATTTGTGTCGCGAAAAGTGCCACACAATCATCATATTTGAATGACTTTTACCGACGCAAGGTAAATTGCCGACGATGGATGAAAGCTTTTATCGACGACTATGCTTGTCGCTAAAGGCATTACTTTTACCAACGCAATGATAATTTCGTCGGCAAAAACTTTTGCCGACTCACTTTTGCCTACAGGTTGCCAACGTAGCTTTGTGTGTTGGCAAAACTCTTTGCCAACGAATTTTCCCTTTTAGCAACATATTTTGTTGCGTTGCGAAAAATACAGTTTCTTGTAGTGAATGCTACAGTCGGTAGTAGCACAGCTGCCAATTCCATACCCTCAAAGATTAACACTGTCACACTTTTACCAAAATAGCCAACCCTTTTGTTGATATCGACCCACAACCAACCATTTCAACTTAACCTTGAAACCGAAGGTTTCACCTTCTCCACATGTCCCCAACCCGAGCCATGGAAATTCTGGTGGAAAAGGGGCACCTCAAGCTCCTTGATCCCTAATCCATTTCCATGTAGCCATGATCCTATCAAGTATTGTGCATTCCACCAACAACACGGTCATAATATTGACCGTTGTTTTCAACTTCATCATGGGATTCAAGATCTTATTGATAATAAGATCATAGCTCCACCCCAAAAAGCCAAGACCACTACTAACCCATTATCACCCCATGACCAAGTCCCACCACCTTCCTATCTTAACCTTATCCATACACTACCACCCATCTTCAACCCCAACATATATATCACACATTCCCATCTACCCAAACCTGAGGTGCTTATTTTAAAGGGTAATGATTTATTCATGATATATGCACCTTGATGCTAACCAAAATCCCAAAACTCTGTGGTGGCAGGTGATCTGGAGCAAAAGCTGGATATTGGCCGATATTCTCATGGGGCATGCACTTCCCTCTTTATGGTTTTCTTGAGCCATGGATCGATCAAGAAGTAAAGAAACACTGGAGAAGTTCTGGGTCTGACATTAGCTGAATCTGTGATAGATTTTGAAACTAACGCGGGCTGGTAAACTCAGGGGATATTGTGACCATTTCTGTGATCAGGGATGGACCACCTGCTGATTGCACATATTTCATTCTAGACATAGTGGATGGCGTGCACTGATATTAGCAATTTATGAATGCTTTCAATTATTTTCTGAATTGGGTGCTAAGTCTGAACCTAATTCCACCAAGTCTGTGGGGCTGGAATTAGGATCGAGTCAGTCTTGTGAGTCAGAGTCTAGTGATTTTGGGGGTGATAACCCGAATCACTACCCTTTTTGTGTCTGTATTTCATTTTCCTCTTGAGTTTGTTTCGATCGTTGAGCCAAAAGTTCAGAACGAAAATGCAGTAAATTTTGCCTACTTCTCTATTCCTGTAAATCATTGCATTGACCAAAAAATTTTAAAACTTTTTCCAAAACTTTGATAAAAACGAAGACAAAGGAATTCCTCGGGATTTGTAAAGTTTGATCGATTGAGAGGAAGAGTGGTATGCTAAGCCCTTGATGGATGAGATCATTTCTGTTAATGTGTGTACTGAGAATGATCCTGACTTAGTCCATATTGGTTTTACATTGTCTTTAGAGGAGCACCACGAGCGACTCGTCACTTTATTAAAAGATTTCAAAAAATATTTTTGCGTGGTCCTACGAAAACATACTTAGAACTGATCATGAGATTGTACAATATAGGATCCCTCTCAACTTGAAGCCCGACCCCCTTAGCTTTCAAACCTTGATTCAGAATGTTCAATGGTTAACCAAAGTGTGAGGCATGCATAGCCGGATTGGAAGCAGTTCTAGAACTAGGGGCAAAAAGTCAGATATGATCAAAGATTCAAATCGGGTCGTTTCTCAAGCCTATGGAGACCGGCAACAAAGTAAAACTCAGAATCTGAGAGAAGGAGATTAAGTTCTGAAGGACAATCGAGTTCCTATCCATGACCCTAGGGACAAATTTAGATCCAATTAGACGGGGTCCCTACATCATCAAGTTTATCTGGTCAAGAGAAAAAGTCATTCTCATGGATTTAGATGGCTTCGAGATCTCATAACCAATCAACATAGACAAGCTAAACATAGTACTATCCGGCTCACTGGGTTGAGAACCCAAAAGGATGACCCAGGCAAAAGTTAGAGTGGAAAAAAAAAAAAGAAAATGAAAAATGAAAAAAATAAAAAAAACAGAAAATGAAAAATTAAAAAAATTAAAAAATATATGGAAAAAAATGAAAAAAAATAGAGCTCGCAAGGTCGAAAACCCGAAAGGGCAACTTTGGCAAAAGTTAGAGCACAAAAGTAGAGTGAAAATACCTGAGTGAGCCTTAACTGTGAACTACGTAAAACATGATTCTTATCTTTAGGATACGCAGACAGTTTTATCTTGAAGTTCGGCCCCAATCATTTCCAACTCACTTATCCCGTTCATGTTTGATTGGTGCATATTTATTTGATTCGGTTGTATTGTCCATGTTCAATTGGGTTATCTTTATTCGGTTGTCCTATCTCTTCTTTATAGTAGATTCAATTGCAAGGTAGATCACGTTTTAATTTGAGGTTGTACATCTCAAGGGTTAATTCTATGCTGGTTGGGTAGTGGCCATTTGCGAAAACAAATTTCGAGGACTTTTAATGAAGTTGACTGATTTTCTCGAAAATTATTTTATTTTTGCAAAACTAGTCCATTTTTTGGACCAAAAAAGGAAAAAATTTAGTTCTCACAGCTTGACTTACATTATTTCAAAATAGAGAGTGGAACAAGCATACTAATCTAACTCTCATGTTGGTCAAAATCTGTTTAGCAGAAAACAAAAAAAGAAAAAGTCAATGCAATAAACTAGGAACACAGTTGAGTCAGGTTTTCTGTCCTTTTCCCATATTCTTGAAAGTCTCCGTTGTCAACTCACTCGCTGAAAAATGCGTAATAGTTGTCTCTAGCAAGGTATCGTGCCCACGATATTCTAAACCGCACCCACATTCGTCGCACCCATAATATTCTAAATCGCGCCCGCAATCTTTGCACCCATGGTGTTTCTAATTGCTCCCACGTTAAAGTTTTGTGTCCTTTCTATTCCAACAAGTGTCAATAGGTGTGTTTGTATTGTTTTTGCTTTGTTTTTCTTTCGTTGAATAGTTTTTTTTTAATTTTCGGCCACTTATGTAGCCGGCCGACCAAATTTTTAGCCAGTTCATTAGTTCGTTTAGCCGGGCGGTTCATAAATTAGTCGGTCCGTCAATTTTTTAGCTGGTTGGATGACTAATCAGTCGGCCGACCAATCAATTAGCTGGCCAACTAATTTTTGAATCCAAAATGGAAAACTATAGAAGTTGCGCAGGCTCAATGGTTTGTGCTTTCGAGTCATGTTTTGAGTGCCTTTTATTCCAACAAGTGTAAATAGGTGTGTTTGGTTTGTTTTTGCTTTGTTTTTATTTCATTGAGTCATTTTTTTTTCTAATTTCTAGTTAGTTGAATGTTTAGGGTCCAATTCAGAGCTCATTGATATTCAATCATTCTCGGATTTGAGTTTGAAATAAAATATTTTCATACCCAAGTGCTAAGCTATTCACGCCATGATGTGCAGAGCATAGCTCATTTTATTAAACTTCAGTTGCCTCGCTTCATCATTACTCTTGAGAAGCCCTTGAGCATTCTGCCTCAGCATTGGTAGAGTTTTCGAAAGAAATTACTCCTCATCAACCGTTAAGTGGGGAGTACGAAGGAACTCCAAATTGGGCCACGGAGGTGGACTGTCGTTTCAACTCTTTGTTCTGCCTTTTCAACTCATCAATCTCTTCTTGAGCATCCTTGTATATATGCTAGAGCAAGGAGAGTTGGGTGTTTAATCGATGTACTTCACTCATCCTACCCTACAGCCAATGGGAAAAATTAGAGACTGCGGTCATCGTTTCCACAGAGGACTTCAATGTGTAGTGATTGGCATCAATGTCAGACTGTGCTGCCATTGTTTGCTCAACTGACATTGCAGGAAAACTGAGAATAGGGGCAGGAGTACTATATTGATTCTGAGAGGTGCTAGCCTCAGCATTCTTGATTGGGGAATCATTAAGGTTAGGGAAAAGAGTGAGGGGACGGCAAAAAGAGGCCATGTCTAGGGGAGTATAATGTCAAAGGAAAAATTTGCAGAGTAATGGCAAATTTGCAAAGTAATGAAAAATTTGCCAGCTGCTGTCGGTCAGCCGCGCTGTGATTGTTGAAATCGCGCCAGACATGGTGCTTGACGAGGACAAACGGGGCAGAGAAAGAGAGAAAAATATGAAAGGAGGGAATATTTGTATATATTTTGTATATATATGTCTATGTATCTGTATCCATACATATACATATCCGTATGTTTGTGTCCGTAAACGTGTATGTATATATTATGTTTGTATATGTATATATAGCTTGTATGTGTGTATGTATTTGTATGTAATAAATATTTTGTATTTTTGTATTCGTATATGTATATATATGGTATGTATAGAAAATGTTCAAAAAAAAATTCAAAAAGAAATTTTCAAAAGAAAATCAGAAAAAGAAATTTTCAGAAAATCAAAAAGAATTTACAAAAGAAGAAGAAGAAGAAGAAAAAGAAAAATTTGAAAAACAAAAGAAGAAAAATTTGAAAAAACAAAATCATGAAGAAAATTTTGAAAACAACAAAGAAAAAAAAATCGTTTTGTGTATCCATCATATTAGTTTTGCCTCCATCATTTTATTATTGCGTATCCATCATAGAAAAATATGAAAGGAGGGAGTATTTGTATATATTTTGTATATATATGTTTATGTATCTGTATCCATACATATACATATCCGTATGTTTGTGTCCGTAAACGTGTATGTATATATTATGTTTGTATATGTATATATAGCTCGTATGTGTGTATGTATTTGTATGTAATACATATTTTGTATTTTTGTATTCGTATATGTATATATATGGTATGTATAGAAAATGTTCAAAAAAAAAATTCAAAAAGAAATTTTCAAAAGAAAATCAGAAAAAGAAATTTTCAGAAAATCAAAAAGAATTTACAAAAGAAGAAGAAGAAGAAGAAGAAAAATTTGAAAAACAAAAGAAGAAAAATTTGAAAAAACAAAATCATGAAGAAAATTTTGAAAACAACAAAGAAAAAAAAATCGTTTTGTGTATCCATCATATTAGTTTTGCCTCCATCATTTTATTATTGCGTATCCATCATATCATGTTGCATATTGTATGTCTCACATTGTCTCTTTGTGTTTTTTTTTGCATTCACTATCACACTTGCACTATTTGTTACATTTATCAGGCATGGGCTACAATTCATTCATATCAACATTTGATTACAACATTTTTCATCAATTGTTGCTGGCCCCCTTTTCGGATTGTACGTTCAAACCACTAGGTTTATGCTGGCCCCTTTCGGGATGATGTTACTATCCTTTTCTTGGGTTGTTGACAGTTCAAACCATCATTGGTTAATACATCTATTTTCTTGGGTTGTTAGTTGAGACTATCCATCGGTTAATACCTCTTCTATTTTAGGATGTAGGTTCAAACTATTCATCGGTTACCTTTCATTCTCTTATGTGAATGTGTTTGGATTATATCCCTTGTTATGCTTTATATTACCTGTTGCATTGCATTATAGATCGTGAATTTTCAAAACAAAAATCTGCTTCGTGAAGTGTGTAAGTCCAACTTTTAATTGTAATTTGAGCACATCATTTGTATTCTGCCTTGAACTACGCTTGTTTGGTTCCTTGCAAAGGGATATGTAAGCAATCCTCAGGTTTAACCAACTGCATTGCATCTTGTTGTTTACCCAAGTCTTATTGCCTTGTCAAAAGGGTCGTCTTCGGGTTTTGACATTCACTTATGTCAAGAAATGACTTTGAGTTTTGTCAAAGAAAGACAACTGTAAACACTCCATTTTGATTGGCCCTAAGATTTAAATGCTTTATTTTGATTAGCCGATGATGAAAACAAGAATGTGTTTCTCACAAAATTCACAGTAAGAAAGATAGAATTTGTGCTTCATTTCCGAACCTAAGTTTGTTTTGGGCAAGTGTTCAAATCCTGTTTGAAACTTTCTTTCCATGCTTTATTCTGAATATTTTCGTAGTGTTTCGAGGCTCACTTTTAAATTTCAAAATGAAACATTTTCTTAGAAAATTGAGTAAAGAACAGTGTAACAATAGGAGGAAAATGTGAGAATTTTGTCGAAAAATCCTGTTTTATGCAAAACAATCAGCCACGGCCAATATTTTGGCCGGCCGGCCAACTTTTTTGCCTGGCAGACCATGTAATTGGCCGGCCAACCAATAATTTAGTTGGCCAGCCAAGAAATTGGCCGGCCAAGCCAATTTTGCCCAGAAGCAGGGCAGTTTGGGCAGAATTCTTGATGAAAGCGTGTGAGTCATGCCATTTCAGATCTTTTGATGATACATTCATGCACGAAATGTATCTAGGCCTCCTCCATTATCCTCCTTTGGCCTCTATTGTCAAAAAGGGGATTGTCTTCTACTCTAAAAGGAGCATCCAAGGCAATCACCCTTATCACTCCATCATCCTTGTCTTCCCCCTTGTCTCTTGCCTTCTTGACTTTGCATTGATTTCATTATCTATATGGAGGATTAGAGTGAAGGATTTTGAAGAGAATGGAATTGAATTAAGGGAGTGAATTGAGAGTTAGTGAGAGAAAGAGAAAAGTCTTGAACATTGAGCTATAAGCTTAGAGATACACTGATATACAATCTTTCAATATATCAAACAAAGCCCATAAATTTTGTTATAGCCATATTCTTGAGCCTTGATCAAAAAGTGTTGTTGAAATTGAGAAAAAAATAGAGGGTTAGAACAACTCCCCCCTCCACCCCCCACACACTGTTAAACCACCCAAAAGCACCATTCTAATAAGAATTTCAAATTTTCAACTTGGGAATTGAGAATACTCTTCCTCAACTTGAAGGTAATCAAAAGGAAGTTTAGAAATCAAATCCTTCTTTGGAAGGTGAATTTTGCACACTTTTCATCTTCTAGTATTTCTTGCATTTTCTTTCTTCTATTACTTTTCTTGCTTCAATTTCATGTTATAAACCTGTTGTAAGCTTTGGAAATGGTTAGTTGAGCCACTCATATATTTTTCGTTTGTTTTTTTGGTGTTGAACAAAACAGAGTTTTTCGGCTTGGCCTGGTTGGCTACCCGGCCAACTTTTTGGCCAACCAGTTTCTCCTAGACAGAACCCAGTAACCTCCCACTATTGAATAGAATGGTTTCCGAGGTTTCCTAAAGTTGTTGTTTTTATTACTTTTATTTTAATTAGAGAGTGTTTGTGAGGATACATTTTTGTTGTAATATTTTTATTCCTTTCCTCCCTCATTGAGAAGAATGGAATGGAATTGAGGGGGTGAATTGAGAGTTAGTGATAGAAAGAGAAAAATCTTAAACATTAAGCTATAAGCTTAGAGATACACTGATATACCATCTTTCAATATATTAAGCCAAGCCCATAAATTTTGTTATAGCCATATTGTTTCTATCATGTTCTTTATTTTGCTTTCCATATTCTCTAAATATGCATGTTATTTTGCTTATCATTATATCTATACTTTGCATCCATGGTTTATGTCTTAAGATTCGGCTAAAATTGCCTGTGTGAGTTTAATCAATTATTATGTGATTTTTTGTGGTACCTCATGTCTTGAAATGATTTGTACCTTTTTGTGGGGCATCGGTAAATATGTAAGCTTTTATGCTTTGGCATCTCGATTGTATATGTTTTTCTACTATGTCGAGCATCCTACCATGTGGCTATTTGCTTATTTGATATAACTCTATGTATGCTAGTGGATGAACGTTGTTTTATTTAATTTGGAATAAAATTGATTTTCATGATTACACTATCCAAAACATTTTTGAAAAAAATGAAATCAAATTGTTCCAAAATCGACGACACAGTCTATATTTGTTTTGCTTCACATAGTAATTTTAGGATTACTAACAATTAGAATATGAACACATGAAGTTAATAAAAATCATATTATGGTTGGCAAAGGCCGATCTTTTGATCCGGTGAGCGGGGGTGCTCAATAATGACCTTTCCCCCTTCATACCTAAGGTTCCAAGCCAAGCATCCTTAGTTACGACGAATAGTGGCCTTGGCACTAGTCACGAGTTTCCAAAGTTTCGCAAAATAAAATTAGGTGGCGACTTTGAGATCTGATGACGCAGTCCATTTTTGGCAAATATTTTTGCAATAAAATGGATTTTTCTGAAAGTTGCCAAATCTAGACTCTCATTTACGTTTTATATTGCACTCGTGAGACTAGATCCAAGAGACCAAGGGTCTAAACTGTTTAACGGTGCGCGAGTAACCCCCCGAGGCAGTGTTACAAGCACCTTAACCATATACCAATGACATTCTCACATTCTCCAGCCTCCGAGCACGGAAGGGCATTTGGATACCTCAACACACATAACACATTCTAAATTTACACACACCCAATTACACAACCCAACACTTAATCCAACACTCTGTAGATGCAATGCAATGCAATGCAAGAGTTCATAATATTGTAAATTAACTAAAGTCCAATTCAATCACACACAAAATCAATCCAATGAAGACGATATGAAATACATATATGTTTCCATGTCCCATGTCATCCCCACCATCAATTTTAATTATATACTAATTCGTACATTGAACCTTTCAACATTGCCGGATTTGCCATCCAAAACAACTTCCTTAAATCCTTCATTAACATCATCATAACACCAATCCCATTCCACATACGGATACTTAAGAAGATTAATTAAAATTTCAACATAAAGTACAATTTTAATTCAAACCCTCATTTAAAAACAAAATTCCAAATCTAGGGTTTCAAGAAAATTGAGAGTTTTCTTCATTTCATCATCAAATCCACCAATCATCAAATATTACCCATTAATATCTTAAAACATTCTAAATATTTCAAAAGTTTGAGTGAAAACTCCAATTTTGGAATATAAACATCTTTTAATCAAAGATTTCAAGCTCAAATCAACCCATACTTCCCATAATACAACATAATCGAACGAAATCATAAATGATTAGAGTTAAGAGAACTCTCTACCTCAAGAAGGTGAGCAAATAATGAAGACCCAAACAAGAACTTTGACAAATTCACAATCCAATCGGTTAAGAGAAATATACTCACTCCTCCTTCACTAATCTTACATGATCTAAGGTGGATCCTTGGTGTAATTAGGTGAAATCAAAGGTTTTGTGGATAATTT